TTTGCGAACACACTATCGGTCTGGACGTGAGTAAGACACGTAATTTGGCCACATGGAAAGTGTTCTCCAACGCAATTCTCAGTTTACGGCTAACCAACTCCACGACTGTATCTCCTTTGAATGGGAGAGAGATGTATAGTGACTGCTTCTCTACGTTTAAAATTCTCTGCCTTGGACGACTATTTCGTAAAAGGCCCAATCAAATCGGTGATCACTCAAAACCATGAAACTGTGGGGGTGATATGCATGCCTCTTCTTTGGTTGGGTTGACATCAGAGTTTTAGATAACCACCGTTTTTGAGGTGTTGGTGGTTTATACACCCGGTCATAGCCCCGGATGTTGGCTTTTCATCGTCTCATTTTGGTGGGGAAACAACTCCCCATGGGAAGACAGTGAATCGGATTCCCTCAGTAGGGACCATTTGAGACGTCTGATCCCCTGATGAGGAGCGAGGGGAAGGTGATCACTCACAACTTAAGATATCCATCCCCGACAGTATGGAGACTTTGGGGGGGGGGGAGAACTGAATTATGACTGCCCCCTTGGGATTTTTGGCCGGTTGTATACAGGGATCATTAGTTTCACATACTTGTCACACAGAAAGCAAAACCTCATAAATCACATCTCCATCCTAACGCTCATTACCATCCTTGATCTCCAGCTGAGAACCTTACCAGTAATTAGGCATATATTTCACCGGATTTATATTACCCAATCGATACAGATCTGGAAGGGAGATGAGAGACAGATATTACATATGCATGGATGTGCAGTACAATTATCCCACTGCGTGAAGTGCATTGCATGGGGCGCAGATTTGTTTCACACATTATTAAGCTTATTGCATCGAACTCGTGGGTAGATCATGTTGTAATGTTTTAGGGGCTGTATACAACAAATGGTGTCAAGGTATTCGCCTATAAGAGTAGACAGTAGTCTGTGATGTAACAATTATCTTCGGTTTTCGAATGACTTGCAAATTCGTTCCAATTTGGATAGGAGAGGATAAAATTGTACATCCGAACCTGAATGATAAAATTCAGTAAGACGAGTATCAGTAAACCAACGTGCCCCTGGTTCCAGAGACCCGGGGGAGACAACTAAAATTCACAGCTGAAAACGACAGATTTGAAAAAATGCAAGCAAGACTGGAGTATGCACCATCGCACCTTTAAGTCTTCCATTGAAGCACCTTTCAGAGGTTCGATCCACGAGATGGGAATCTTGTGCAAAGCAGATTCTAAATCATAGATATGCTTGTCCCGTACGGTCGAACTGATCCAACGAAAAGAATACACCCAACTGAATCGATCAAGAAACATTATTATAGGTTCCAGATCTATGCACGGATCCCCTGTCACCATCGTTGTAATCATCAATTGTAATCGATACGATCACGTGACTGGAATAAACCTGAAATAAACGGAGGATAGAATAAAATAATACAGCCAATGGGTTGCTCTATTGTACAGGACAGATGCAAGGAATGGACATACAAACTAGCCTCGATAGTAGACTTCTTCTTTCGTTTCATGATCCGAAAAGAACCTCGGAACCACGGAAGTCATTCGATCGATCGACTTAGAAACGGAAGATAATCAAAACAAAACTTCTTCATATACTCGCTATCCTTCATCGTAGAATGAGGACTCAATAGCGTCAAATAACCCAGAAACAGTGGCAGTGATTTAGCAGACATAGATAACCATTACATCGCCTCAGAATCGAATCGGATTACTACAGACATCAGATACTTTCCAATTTCATCTATTTTATTTAATGTCACTGTTTCAATGGACCACCCAATAATCATAAAACAATAATAAAAGCAAATTATCTTTTGTTTGCTGGAACATAGAGGGTCCAGTAGAAGTGAGAATATGCGTTTGAACTGCAGGGAAAGTTCTAGAGATTACTCTAGACAAAAATTCCTTGAGAAGTTCCAGGGCATCGTCGCCCTTAAACTGAACGGTCAGGAAAATGTTGTTACGAGGGACGGTTGGGCTTCTGTTTGCGTTGGTCTTCAATCGTATACGTTTATCAATATAAGCTTCTGACTAATCATCCGACCGAAGCACGTCATAATTCAAACGTATCTCGCAATAAAACAATCACTCCAGATATTTGTTTATTGTTAATTTACCATGTTTTCCTCGATGGCTGCTGTTGCGACCAAACACGGCGATGGATTTCTCACTGATCACCGTGGAAAAGGCGGAAGTCAATGCAAACACTTTGTTAGTAGGCATTCAAAAATCGATTCAACCCTCAGCACGTAAACCATAAAACGATTGTCATCTTCCCAATTATGCATATAACCCTGGTGAGCACGGTGGAGTAAGCAAAGAACATAAACCAGCGATCTACTCAAAAGTCCAATTTTTTTATTTGGTAACTGAGAGCTCGCAAAACAGACGCAGAGTGAGAACCAATTGTAGAAGTACAGCACACAAACTGCTCATAAACAATGAATTCGCATCTGATGCTAGCTCAGTTGCAGGTCATTTTACCTACATGTCACTCTATCCCATAACTTTTGGAATTCTATAATCAGATGTCATTAAAATGAAGCTGATTTTCGCAGCACTGTTGAGCATTTTGAAGAGACAGCGCACATAGAACACGAAGACAAAACTGACGACTGACTTTTTCATGTTTCTCACATGCAAATCGCGAGAGCTGACGTCATCAACGTCGGCGAAACCATATATTTTTTCTTCAGTTACCAGAACAAGACGTATTCTACAAATGCTATTGGATAGTTCCATAACGATGGCATTGGATAGAAATTGCAAAAGACATTCACGTATCCCAGTCATCATTCTATTAGTTCACTGGGAACTACCGAGTTAAGACAACTAGCTGTCGGTTAGCCAACGCTGCCTCCACTCTCGAACATCGGGTGATGC